GGGGGTGGGGGTGGGGGTGGGGGCGGCGGCGGCAGCGGCGGTGGTGGTGGTGGTGGTAGTGGTGGCAGCAATAGTAGCAGTAGTAGTAGTAGTAGTAGTGGCAGCAGCCGCTGCGCACAGTTTCGTCGGGACCCCGCTGTAGAGATGTACTACCCTGGACCCTCAGCTCCGCGAAGGGTCACTTCCTAAAAGCAAGCTTGTGGGTGTACTGCTAACAAATAAGTTCCGAGGTTCAAGGCCGTGATGCTGGCTTCGCTTAGGTCGCTGGTGCCCAAGGAGTCACTCAGGGGCAAGGGGTTCCGGCTGGTGTTCTCGCATGCAGTTTTGGAACTGAACTGGACTGAAGGGGTGGTTCGGAGGCTTTTAAGTCAAGCATATATCCCAGTGAGTTTGCATTTGGATATTTCTGGAAGTATCTCGTATGTAAACCTCTGATAGTGACCTCTGTAGTCCCCATATCATCCCCGTATAATTAATCCTAGAATCCCACGAGGCGTCTTTTAAGAGCCCCCTCCTATTCCTCTTCCCTCGCTGAGGGGGCAAAGAATTTGCTCCTCATTGCTGAGGTTTCGGGCTTGGGCGGCTTGAAGTTTAGGATTCAAGGTTTTGTGCAGGGCTCAGGGTTCAGGATGTAGGTTCAGGGTTTATGGAGATCTAGGGTTTAGGGCTAAGGACTCATTGCTTACGGTTTAGGAGTTAATGCTTGAGAGTTAGGGTGCAGGGCTTACGGTTTAAGAGTAGATGCAGCCAGGACTGGGACTCTGAGCATGAGGTGGCCTGGAACTGGCTCTGGGAGAACGTGGAGCGTATGCTGAAGCTTGGAACAGAATGCAAGTATTGAAACTATGTGTATCTATATACTTATATGCGACACACCCCTAACATAGAAGCCCCAGAAGGGAATGAGTACGGTCTCTTGGAGAGGGGATCACGTCGGCTTCCCTTCTTTGGGGGGGCAAGATACAATCTAACGTAGCATCGTATTCTACATACGCATATACGTACTTCCCACTGCATAAACATGCAAAAATGCGTGTATATCTACATCTGTCTATGTAGACACACCTACAATTTTCTATCGGTTGGGCTGGGCAGTCCATAGAACATCATGATTCGGCCCGCAGTGCAAGGACGCTGTCGGTAAGATCGGGGAACCCGGGTCTGCAGGAACATCACCGAGAGCTTCTAGAGTAACAGTTTGAAGTAATCCGGGTATTTCCGACATAGGGGGGAGTCTCCTGTGTAGACCGCTAGAATACTATAATCCTTGTCATGGGCATCCTTAGGTTTGTCAACCCTCGTAAGCATGATAGCGCAAATAGGACAAGTGGTGGTTGAAGCCGTCTGCTCTGAGGGAGGCAGCGCAATGCAGGCATGCAGGGTTGTGCGCAAGCGTCAATGATTAGGAATAGTATTCCCTCACAATCTTCGTTGACTTAAGTGCAACTTCTCATCGACCAATAGGATTATGCTTTCGGGCATGTTTAGACACGAACTTTACACGGGCCACCCGTTGTCATTGCTACCCAAGGAAGAGCCACATGGGCAAGCCCCAGGCGTGGCGTTGTGGTTTAGGGATTTAGCGGTGCGGGGTTGAGGGGTGAGGCATTTTGGGTCGAGGGTGTAGAGCTTAGGGTTCATTGTGGAAGCGTTTAGGGTTGAGGGTGTGAAGGGACGGAGTAGTATCTAAGATTTGCTTAGGGTGTAGGCGGGCTGCCACGATGTATGAGCTTATTTATACGTTGAGGCCTCTGCCAGCATGTGACGTTCTAGGTATTTCCAATGACAACGGTCTCCCCATGTAAAATGGCTAAACACGGTATGATGGCGACTCCAACAGGAGGCCTTACTTTTTTGAACTCCCGCGCATGCTGGAAGTGACTTAAAAGGGTTCCAGCAATCGCTTGAAGGGGCACCCGAACCCTACGCCCTACGCGTGCCCAATTGCCTTTCGCAGATTTGTTCATTGCTGCTTTGAGAGGGAGACACTTCAGGCCTCTTTGATTCTGAAGATGTACCAGAGATGTACCAGTAATACAGCCAGGAGTAGTAGTTATTATTGTTGTCATATGGTTCTTATCAGCATGCGAGTCGTATCATCAGTAATGGAAGCCTCAGGTACACGAGAAGGCCATTGAGCGTTTCATCGTGGGCCTTTCGGAGGAATCGATTGGCTTCTTGCGCCGCGAGGTCTACAAGAGGCAGTCGGGGATTGACTGTCTTGCAGTGCTGTCTCCAAACCTGCGTAGGGCAAAGGTGCAAGCAGGTGCGAACAGCTCTGGAGCTATGATAAGTCCTGCCTGGGTTCCAGGCTGGTTGCAAGTAGGCCCTACCCACGGCAGGGCGAAGCCCGCAGCGCATGAGCTAATGCTGCTGCAGGTTCTTCCAGCTTGCCCCGGCGGGCCAGGATCATTTCAAGCAGTCCACAACAAGGCTACACTTTATTGCGGACAAGTGCCTCTGCCGCATGTTTCATTGGTTTGTGACTGACGTGCGGGAGCCTGCAGGATTCACATGGGTCATCACTTCAGCCAGTACAGTGAGACTGTGTAGTCACGGGATGCAATGTCTGAGATATGTAGTGTGACGACCTGTGTGATAGGTAGTATGGCTTGCAGGCTCAAAGCATACGCAGCAGCTTGGTTTCTTACCAGCATTGCTGAAATGAATGGTTGCATCAGTCAGGATAGTGGCCCACGAGAAAGTCGGCTCCAATTTTCTAAGCTTCCAGGTAGAGGCTTCGCTTGCTCAATTGAAATCAACTTCAGAGTAGGATTACCAAGCACACACCAATGTTTGTCTGACAGCCCCCCGGGTGAGCTTCTCAAAAACGTTTGGTCCCTAAGTTCTGAACCGGATAATTACATGACGGGCAATGTTACGTGAATCCTCCTGAGTTAGAAAATCACCCAAGTTCAAATACAGGCTTCTCAGCAAAATCCGTATAGGACCCCACATAAGCACCCCCATGATCCTCTTGTGGTCCCTCCTAGCCCTCGGGTCCTCACTATAACCTTGGTTACTGAACCCCCACTCAGGAACAGTTTAATAATAGATATAATTTAATAAGCTATCTATCTATCTACCTTTCTATCTATCTGTATATATAGCCCCTATTTTTCCCCTTCTCATAGACTGTTACTGTGCGGGGGGGGGGGGGCGGCACCCAAATTACAACAAGGATTATTGAGATGACCGTGGAGATGTACAAGCAGCCTAAGAGGATGGTTGAGGACATTTCCGCGCTCGGCCTTCGCAGCTCGCCATGGAAGGGGTCTCAGGGTTTGAGGCGATCCCCTGACCCAGTAATGCCTGGACGACCAGAGTATGTAGAGCAATTGCCTTCAGGGTTTGGGGCCATCATGCATAGTACAGATTCCATATCCATCCTTGCCTCAAAATTTTGACTGGAGGCCATGTCGGTTATGCCATTCCCACAGAGCTCTTCTCGCCGTTTGTCTCCGGCGCCGTGGATGTGGTGCGGCTTCTGACAACGGACCGGCAGTTGAGGTTGACGATGGAAACCGTGACTGACCACGAAATCTGGGAATTTGCTTCAGGATGGCCGTATTCATCATAGGGCTCCATGATACATGTTTCTAAGATTAGTCAGGATTTAAGGGATTAAGGACTGACTGTTCAGAGTACAGGCATCATGTCGGCTCTGGTGAGCAGGATGCCTGACAAACAGCAAGCGCCGCCTAAAAGCACTTTTCAAGCCGCTTCCGTGGACAGCGCGCTGCTGATGCTCCTCTTAACGGCTAAGGCTGCTGCCTTCCTGTCGCTCTTAGCTTCATTACTTCAGCCAGCACAGCAGCCTCCATTCTGCGTTCCGATAATGCACGGCAGGGGTAGTAGCCCGTGCAGAGGTGGTTGTGATGCTTGACGCCTGTGTTCAAGTAGGAAGTTGTGCAGCCAACATGTTCAGCCAGACCTGAACTCAAATAATTCGACAAACATGAAATGTCAACTTTGTGCAAAACGCCGCATAGCTGTGAAGGAGATTGCCTCTATCAGACCTTTGGTTAGGCCCATATGATGCCTCGTCATGGATGGTTAGAAGCAGGGCAACCTGCAGCTGGAATTCAGCTCCTAACCCCAAGCCCTAAATACCCAGACCCTTGACCTTGAAAAACAGACCCTAAACTCCAAACCTAAAACTCCGAAATCCTAAACTCAACCCGATACAGACCCTTAGCCTAAACCCTAAACCAAAGCGCAGGACGGAAACGCCGAGGAGGCCTTCCGCTGGTCCTTGACGCTGGTCTCCAAAATCCTCGTGCGGACCATCCTAGAAGGCTGGGTTGGATTTAGGTGTCCCGAATGGGTTTCTCAAAAATTGGCCCCTGTATTGTTTTGACTTGAGGGTATAGTTCAAAGGGACATTGGGACGAAGGGGTTGGGGCTCAAGGTCTAGGATCTGCATCTAGGGTTTGGGTTTGGGATTCCGGGTTTGCAGCTTGTAGCGCTCAGGGGCTGGAAAGCTGTGGTTAGTTTGTCACCCCACATCGTATTTCATCCGTGTCGGGTACCAGAAATATAGCTACTTCTTTTCATCAAGCAGAGACTGCGGTGTTGCGGGCCCTCAATTTTCTGTCGAATGAAGTTAGTGGAAGCAGGTCCTCAAAGATCCACCGAAGTATCAAAGATCATGGGTCCCTTACTGGGGTTTCGAGAACCAAGATATTGATCCTCTTTTTTGGTAGATGCGGGTGGTATATAGGTATGTAAGGGTCTATTACTGATGCTCTTCTCGGAAGCGAACATTTCTAGCAGGCTTGTTGTAGGGATCATGTCAGGGATGCAAAGCTTGATTTTTGATCCAGAGTTAATTTGAAGAGACTTCACGCAGCCTAAGCAATCGGACAGGAGATTAGGAGAACGTGTGCCGTAACTGCAGGCGGGCGTTCAAGTGCAAGTTGTTCTGCCTGCTCATGGTTATTCTGGCACGGAAGATGCCGGGTAGCTGCCCTTCACTTCCCCACATCAGTTTCTTGTAGCTATTGTAGCTGTGCGGCTGTGAAGGCTCCACAGTCGTGATGAAAGCCGTGAACACCAACTCAGACAAGGCCAGACTGCACCACACCGGATCTAGATCGGATTCGGACCTCGGGCTCACAAGCTAATTGCCAGAAGGCAGGTCTTGTCATCTACCAGAAAAATGCTCCGCGCCGATGTGTCAAGATGAGAGGTTCTCAAGCCCGCCCTACGTCATTCATCCTTGTGGGGTGCCCGTAATCTCATTCCCAGCTCTTTGTTTCCCTAGGGTCCCCCAACATATACCTTGCCTGGCACCCCAATACAGGACTTTCCCAAAAAAGGAGTCCCCCTTTTCTACTTGAAATAGACAATAATCCTCATTGCAGGGGGCCCATGATTAATTTTGGAAGTCATAATATCATGTATCTGAAGAGATCGATTCGGAGGCCGTCAGGGTGGTCTCAGACAGCAATCCCGGGCTCCCGTAATCGCATGGCTGACACAGGAAAGCTTACTTAGCCCGACACCATGAGGTAGCTTGCATGTATTGATTTCCTGGAGGCGTCTAGGAAACAGGGAAAGTAGACCATCATAACCTGCCCTTGGCTTGTTCCCCGTCGAGAAAGCCTCTTGAACCTTTGAAAGCTCGCTATAAAAGCCATGAGCCCTCTGCAAGCTTTCAAAAAGCTTGGAAACTTACCATAAACCCCCACTATCCCCACTGTAAACCGCCAGGGATCGTTTGGGGCTCATTTCTGGATTCCAGACAATTCCACCCCAAATATTCTATCAATCCGGTTGGTGCCTCTATATTACCCACCACAAAGCGCTATAAAGACTTCAAATGTTCTATCCTTCCGCTTGGCACTCCATCCCTGAAAAGACTGTAGTAGAGCTCTCTGAAGCTTCTGGAGCCTTCAGAAAGATTTAAGAATTCAACATCTCTTCTATAAGAGCTTTGAACCCGTAACACTTGTTAAGATTCTAGAACAACCTTTCAATCCTCTAGCAACCCTCTTCGTCTCAAAGCCGTATAGAAAAATTCGTAAGCCTTTAGAGCCCCTTTCGAAGATCCTCAGAAAACCAACCTCTTTGAAGCCTTTACAAACCTGCTATAAAACCCATGAACCGATGTAAGCCCTCAAACGTACAACGCTATAAAACCTTCCAAGATTCTATCTATCCATTTTCGTACCTCTATAGTCCCCACTCTGAACCATCTTAAAACCCTCCAGACCCTCCAGAAAACCTTCTAACCTTTAAATGCCTTCTGAACTACCTATGAGTCCGTTGTAACATTTCTTTTAAATTCTACAAGACCTTCAGAAAACCCCTCGAAACTCGCTGCCTCTATAAACCTTGTATAAAATGGTGTAAAGCCTTGGGAAACCTCTAAATCTCCAAGCCCTGTGTTAGTTGTCTAAAACCTGTACAGACCGTCTAGAACCCCTACAAAACCTCTCCCAAATATTCAATCTGTCCGTTTGGTACCTCTAGAAGCCCTAAATTCCAACTTTATAAAACCTACACATATTCTATCTATCCTTTTGCTTTCTCTAAGTGCTCATCGATTCTGTTTTCCATTTGGTTTTCCAATCTGTTTTTCTCGTCCATTCTGTGTTTCGTGTTGCTTTTCATTGTGTTTGTCTCCATTATGTTGTCCATTCTATTCTTCTTTTCCATTCCGTTTGATTGCTTTCCTGTCTGAATTTCATTCTGCTTTGCTTTCCTTGCTGCACCTTGCTGCTGTACATTCTATTTGTGGGGTCTTTTCAATCTGTGGTTCCTCTTGCCTCGGCTTTCCATTGATCATTGGAATGGAAAACGAAATGGAACCTTAAACGGAAAAAACAGATTCCAAGTTGAAAGCCGCATGGAAATACCATGGATCCAAGAATGGAAGCCAATAATCATCACGGTTTGAGGACACTTTGTTTAGAAACCCTCCACCTCTATAAGCCTTGTACAAAACTGTGTAGAACCTTTACAAACCGTCTTGAACCCCGTCAGAAAAGCCTTGAACTTTTTTTACCTGCTGTATAACCCATGCCTCTGTAAACCTTCAAGACCCTTACTTAAACTCTCCATACACACAATGTCCCCTCTGTAAACCCTCTATAGACCTTTTAAACCTGCCCCCCAATACAAACCTGTCTGGGATCGGTTTGGCGGCTCAAATGTTCTATCTATCTATCCGTTTGGTGCCTCTATATAAGCCCCCACCTTCGAATGTTTCATCTATCCATTTCCGTACCTCTTTAGTCCCCCGATAAAACTTCAGAACCTCTCTGAGCCATCTTAAGACCGTCCAGAAAACCTTCTAACCCTTTATATACCCTCTATAGCAGCTATGAACCTGTTGTAAAATTTCTATTGAATTCTACAACACCTTCATAGACCCCTCGAAACCCTCTAAGTCTCCAACCCCTGTATAAAATTGTGTAAAACCTTGAGACCATCCAGACCTCCCTCAGAAAACCTCTTGAAACCTTTATAAACCTGTTAAAACAGCTCCTGAAGCCTGATCATAACCCCCCTCGATCAGATTGCCGCCAAGTACAAACAGCCAGGAATGGGTTTGGGGGCTCCATTCTGGGATCCATAAATTTTCCCCCACATAATATTCTATCTATCCGTTTGTGACAGCTCTTTTCATGTTTTCAAAAACTGCAGAGGGATTACCACAAATTGGTAGCAACTGTAGGTACCAGATGAGATGCTCCAGGCAGCATCAAAGTATGCAGGTTTCTTGACTTACTTTGCCATACAAGCCCTTTGAATCTACCCAGTAGATCACACAGACTTGTCTAAGCAGTTTCTCAACTGGCTGCTACGGAACCTTCTTGATAGTCTGGTAAGGGAAGTTTCTCCAAATTTTGAGTCCGTCCTTGTCCTCTGCCCAAACAGGGATTCCCAAGACAACGAGCCAATAAGACACATTTGATTGCAGGTATGCCCCAAGATGGACGCCCCCCTTTTTTTCGGCAGACTTGGATGACCTTGCAAAAGCTCTCGCGAGGCCTTGCGAAAGGCAATTTCTGTGGCGCCCCGTGGCCGACGCGCAACAGATTTGCTCAACATCACGGCTCCTAGGTTGCGTTTTAGGGTTTGGGGCAACTACTATTTCTGAGAATGCTGCAAAATCACGGGTTCGCTGTTGGAGGTAGTTGTCCTAGGTTTCAGAAGGCATGTATACTCTAGCAGCAGCCACAGCAGGAGGAGGAGGGGGAACATGAAGAACGATGCTGTGCAGTGCTTGAAAATTTGACAGGAAGCTCTGAAAGCCACAAGGTAGGGACACAGTCCATCTCGCCACTCTACTGGTCCATTGAGAGCGGCAGCCTCAACTGCGCGAAGGCTGGCACTCTCAAAACAGTTGCTGTGCATGTTAGCTTCAGCAAATAAAGTGGCACGCCGCCAACCTCTTTTTAAAACCATCCCCCCTGTATCCCTGAGGGCCCTTCGCCTGACCCTGTTTTCAGAAGAGCCATATGGATGGTTGTCCCAATCCGGGCCCTTCTTGAGACCCCAACGCAGAGTGCTGCATGAAACGTAGTCTTGCCCAGGGCTTTGAACGCTTACACGTGTAGAACCCTACGTACTAGTTGGAGAGCGGCACTTGTCAGCATGCCCATTGAATTCCTGACATGATCGGCGTGCATTCAGTACCTTGGCACGTTGAAGGATTGGACATGCAACGGGGCTACAAGAGCATCTGCTTCTTTTTGAGAGACCAGTCGGTGCTCAGGCCCTTACCCAAATACAGCCAGACAAGTCGACCTTCCGAGTGCGCCCTCTATAGAATCCAGGAAATCTAGAATGCCTTTGGTGGTGTGATCTTTCCATAGAAGCACATCGCTGTTCTCCATTTGCGTGCGGCCGCGAAGGCTTCACTTGTCACGCGAAGGTGGACTAGCCACTCCAAATACCTGAATCCCTTCCAGAAGAGGAATGCCAACAAAAGGGAAAGACAGATTCAATTCTTCAGGCCATGATTGAAGACCTCTTGACCATTCGGGCGGATCGAGACAATTACTACTATGGCTGCGATGCGTTGTTCAACCGGCATCCGGAAGCTATCCATCGCCTGTGCCCCTCATCTGCAAGTGTCAGCATTCTCAAGGAATAGCTACAGGCCAGACCTTGAAGCTTCCGCCAGGAACTCGAAACTTGATTGATTGTTGAGCCGATTTTGAGCACTAGGTGTAGATGCTCCAACCTTGCTTCCGGCCTTGCTGGACGGCCTGGTGTGGCGTTCCCGCATCGCAACCGGAGGCCGGGCGCTTGAACAGGCAGAGATCACCATGATGCTGTTGCATATACCCAAGGCTTCAATAAAGCCCCTAAAATAGCCGACCATAGGGACGCAACACGTCTTGGAAGGTTCATCCAAGCAAGAGCTCGACTATCAAGAAAATAAGCCAGTTAGTTCCCAAAACCCTACTTTTCTTGATAATGGTTCTATATCTGAAAAGCGGGTTTTGTGAAAACCCGTGTTTTGCACCCAAAACCCATCTTTGTCCCGCAGCCCCTTTTTTATCAAGTTAAGGAAGCCATAGGATATGTAAGTTTATGGCATCCCGTTTATTGCCCTGCATCCAGGTCAGCGGCGAGTCAATTACTACATCAAGCAGCTACACAGGTCATTGCTCACTCTCTTGATTTCTCCTGTAATGGGTCCTGTGTACATCAAGCCTGCCCTCCTAAGCCCCAAGGTCGTTTGGCCCCCAGCCCAGCCTACCAAGGCATTTGGTGCAAGATGAGAACGGCTACTTCAACCAGGCGCGGCTAGTGGGAGCATCAGCTACCGGGAATTTGACTTGTCCATGTATGAGCATCCCATCCTTGGCCGGCCAGGTAGGTTGGGTTGTAGTCGGCATGACCGGATCTTTTCAAGTATTGGTTCTTGGCGAGGTCCCTTGTAGCATTGTAGCAGTTGCACAATGCTAGCAGCAGTGCGAAAAAACAGTTCTACGAAACCACGCTTGCGACTAGCTCTTTTGTCCACTGAGACGTGGAACTGTGACTTGGACTGTTTCCAAACTAATCACTCGAGAATTAACATCCTGTAGCGTAATCATGCTCTCTTCATCCCTGTATGTCACTAGGGTGCCTCTTTGACGCCGAGCCCAGAGCGCTAAGCCCATTAGCCTGGACCCTAGCCTCGAACGCTCTAAGCCTTAAAAGCTCCACACCTTAGACTCTGAACCCTAAAAAGTCAACCCCAAGGCCTACAGCACCATCAACCCTAAGCCCTCATGTCAACCCTAAAACCCAAATCCAGATCCCCTGAAACCCTAAGCAGGCCTTGGAGTGGTTGACCGACTTCAAAGATCCCAAGATCATTTGCCACTCCGTGGTAGTGCTTTGGTCTGCTAAGCTTGTGGTTTAGGGTTCAAGGGTTTGAGTTCTAGCTTTTAAGATCTTTAATACCAGGGGTTTAGGGTAACCTTAGGGGCTTTTGATTTGGTGTGGTTCATAACAAGATGGGTGATGTGGAGGCCCCCCCGGCAACTACATATTACCGCAAGGCATTGCTGTAGGGGGATGATGAGCCCCGTCCATGTCTAAATGTGCAGAGTTGTGGCAGTTATGCAGGCGTTGGCTTTTCTGAGCACAATGTGCTTTGTTTGGACACGCGTTGTAGTGCGACGATTTGTATTTAGGGGCACACGCTAGAAACTATCCGGATCTAGCACGTGCAAGATCATGGACTGCAAATTGTTGCTCCAATGCGACTAGCACTGTTTCTTTTGGCCGCGACCCAAGTATTCAGCTGGCAGAATAGCGCTGCCTGAGGCTCCAACTGTGCGGTCAATGCTCTGATGGGGACTATGGCGATCCAAGTAGGTCCTGAGAAGCCTGAAGTTTCGTATCAGCCATCACTTTGCTTAGATCACGAAGCTGGTGAGGTGCTGTTCGCAGACATCATCTGGAGCCGGCTAGCGATATACCTTTTCATGATGGGGCTCCCCAGCTGCAAAGCATACTGCTGCCACAGCTACAGTGCAGATGGGTACCAGTTGGAGTGCTGCATGTGCTTCAAAGCCAGATTTCAGATAGCTTTGGCAATAAGCCCTTGCTAGGCTTGGCGGAAATTATGTAGTTGCCTTGGCACAGGTTTGCAGCTGAACATGTTTCCTCGCAATCCTTGGACGCTGGTTTCATTCGCGGGTGGAATGCTCCAGCAATGGCTGTTAGGTTTCAAGATCCAGTGCTGTAAAAACCCCCGAGGAATTTCTAATGTCGGTTCCAGAAGCCCATAATGTGGCACTCAGTTTGATGGAACGACCCCGCACAATAGGGACCCCAGACACAAAACTAGACGGCCTGAATTCGCCTCCCACGTTACTGAGGGCTGTAGGGATTACGTAATTTAGAGCGGATGCTGTTAGGACCAAAAGCCAAATACCTCAAAATCACGGCCTGAAAATCTCAAAGTGGCCCCAGAAATACATTTTAGGAGGACATGTTGGGTTCAAAGCCAGGAGGTTCAGATTAAGCCTCGGGGCTCAGAAAGAAAACCATCTCCCAGGCGATGCTACTTCCTCTTCATGCTCTGTCTGTTTATCACCAGCAGCTGGACTGTTTGGCATCAAGGGCTGCTAGTGCCGCGATGGGCCAAAGGTTAGACCACCTGCCGCCACTGTAATATTAGGTATGTCAGTACCCGAGACCAAGAACAGGCAAGGTTGTAGAAACGTGCTCACTCCGCCGCAGCAAAAAGACGCACAGCTGCACGATCATGCAGTAGGACACCTTACCGCAGATTAGTCGAAGGAGCCAGCTGGAACATTTGACCCTCTCTGAGAACAAGATTCCCTCACCATGCGGCAATTCAGCCACGCACCGCGAACGGATAGAATGCGCAAAGCGATTCAACCATCCAACATTCTAGCGCCCATGCATCACCGTGCTGAGGCCCAGCCTCAGGATGGGAGAACTTTCAACACCTAGTTCCCGCATGTGATGCAGCAGACTGCTCGACGAAAGAATTTGAATAAAGCCGAATGCAAAGCCTAAAGTCTTAAAGCCTAAGGCAGGTACCTGCCTGCAAGGCCCGCAACACATACCACGGACTCGACAGAGCACCGAAAGATGCCGGTAGTTCTCAACCGAATTTCAAGTAGCAGGGCTGCTTTACAGTACTGACCTCAAAATCTCATTCTTGTGACCTCCGCCCCAAGATCTCCCCAGCGTTCAGATATCGTCCTTCTGGTTGTCTTGAAAAATCAGGGGTTCCTTCATCTGATTCCATAATTGTTAAGGTGGCTTACAACTACACCTGCCAGTCCAAGGAATGCAGAATCTGTACACACACAATTCGCAACAGCGGCTTCGCCTGTACGATCTTCACATAACCCTCATCATATTCCTACAAGTTCCACACATATAGACCTTGCCATCCCCACTGGAGAATTGTAAGATTCCACAAATGTCACAAGTGTGTCCTCTGGAGTCCTTCAGAGGGACCAGTAGACGCCCCCTGCCAACCCATCTATCCCCTGGTTTGATAGGGGTATATAACCCTTTTTGAGAACCCCAAGCCGTGATCTACAGAGCTCGGCCGCGTAAGAAAAAATTGGTTACTGTTTTTACACGTACCTAAAAAATCATGTTTTTTGCGTACATGTAAAAACATTGTAATGCAGGCATGTTAAAACAATGCTCTCCAAACCCTACCCTGCCATTCTTGGGCCTAAATTCTTATCCCAAGCCTTGATCTCTGAATCATCATCCATAAAACTCACTCCAGAGCCTTACACCCTACTCACTCATCCCTCCTTGCGACTCTCCAATTTCGATCAGTATTTGCATCCTGCGAACCTCCTGAATTTCGAATCCTCTAGCCCCAAAGCCCTAAATCCCTCAACATGAACCCGTGAACGCTAAGCTGTAAACCCTGATCCTTAGACCCTGTAATGCCTGAACGCCCAAAACCTCAAAACCCTTGACCCCCAACGATGTCCTATACAAACCCTAAGTTCGTAAACCCTGAGCCCTAATCCTACAAACCCATGCAAAGCCCTGTAGAAGCCCAGTCTTCAGTTCGCTGTTGATTGTCGCTTCAATTTGACTTCCCATCATCAGCGGAATAAGCCCAAAAAGCCCCACACCCTAAACTCGGCCCTAAACCCTAGACCCTAAACCGTAAACCCTAGACAGTAAACCTTAACCCCAAACTCAACCCTTAACCCTAAAAACAAAACCCTAAACCTCCTGCAGCCAAGGCCAGGCAATCATCCCAAGGCTGCAGGAGGGTAACAAGAGTACAGTGGAGCAGGACGCCAGGGAGCCAGCTCCGCATACAGGGGTTGAGGGTTTAGGGGTTTATAGGGTTTTGAGATTAGGAGATTGGGTGTTGAGGGTTTAGGGATTAGGGTTTAGGGGATTAGGGTTTAGAGCCTTGGTGTTTAGGGGTTGAGGGTTTTGGGTTCTGAGGTTTAGGGTTTAAAGTTCGGGGCTTAGTGTTTAGGGTTTTGGGGTTGGGGGTTTAGGGCTTAGATACACGGCACAATAATGGAGAATCAAATGGAAACGAAATGCAAGACGAAGCGGAAACCCTAAGTCCCTTTAAGGTGTATATAGGGATACTACCCCAATAATGGAGACTCGAGAATGAAATGGAAGAGGGATTATGTGGGGATTCGAACTTCCCAATATGAGGGGTACCAATTTGGAGGTCCCCATAATGGGGTTATAGTAGTGTGGGGTGTATATTGGGGTCCCTTTATTTCTGGAAACTGCCATATGTATCCCCTAATGCTAGTGTAGACTTGTAAGTTGCTTGCAGGAGCACAGGACCGCAGGCGCACGTGTTCCAGCAGAAAAGTTCTCTGTGCAGTGCTACAGGGAGCTCTGAAGGGTAACGCTGCCAGTGGCGACGTACCCCCTAAGTCGTCACTGGTAGCGGAGCCTGACAGAGCTCCAGTAGTTGACATGTCATCCGCTGACGCTTGGTCTTCGTGGAGTCTTGTGGAACCACAACATGCTGTCCCGGCGGACACCATCCGTGCCGATGATGCCAATGTGGCAGTCGAGAACTCAGATCCGGCCGAAGGAAACGGCTGGAGCAACGATGTGCGACAGGAGAGCTCTGACAACCGGGAAGTCAGTGGCTCTGGGGACAATGCTGGCCAAGGACAATCGTGGGGCGATTGGGGCGGCCGGCACTGGGGCGGTTGGCAAGATCGGCGAGGTCATGCTGATGGGCCGCGGCGTCCGGAGGTGGCGCCCGATGAGAGCCGAACGACGGCAATCCGATGCTTCTGGCTCCGACAATACGACCCCGAGTACAACAGCTGAACGACAGCCTGGTCAGTGGAATCGACCTGTCTGGTCAGAAGAAGATTGGAAGCGTTGGAACTCCTGGTGGGAGAACTCCGGCTCTTCTTCAAGGGCCGCGGGCGGCGATGGCAGCGGCACGACCTCTACGACTGCGTGGTCCACGTGGGCGTCTACTACCCGGACGGGAGGTACCACGACTACACGACCAAGTACGGCGCCTACGCGAGAAAATGATGAGGTGTGGCAACCGCATGAGCGAGCGAGCAGTGGAGGAAAAGGACCTTCGGAGAAGCTCATCATCCCGACCTTCAACGGAGAAGGAGAGGACGGCGACCTGGGCATGTCCGCTCGCAGCTATCTGAGACAGATAGCGGCTTGGGAGAAGATGACCAAGTTGGCCAAGGACCAGCGTGCCCTTGTTCTTTATCAAAATCTTCAGGGGTCTGCCTGGGTTAATGCCGAGTCTTTGAGTGTTGAGCTCTTGGGACAAGCCGATGGGGTTCAGTATCTTCGAGATTGGATAGAGCAGCACTACCTCGATGTTGAGGTGACGCTTGTTGGAAGGTCCCTGAGTGATTTGTTTCGGAAGTTGAAGCGAAAGCCAGCCCAATCATTCAGGGACTATGCCGCAGAGTTCAACAGGTTACTGGCGAGGGTGACGGAGTGTGGATGCAAGTTGCCCGATGTAGCCACGGCCTGGTTGTTTGTTGACCGTGCTAACCTCGATGAGGCGACCGAAGTTAGCCTCCTGGCGAGCGTCGGGAACAAGTATGCTCTGAAGGCCCTGCAAGCTGCGGCGATCATCCTGGACAGGTCCATGCGGAAGCCTTGGGAAAAGGGGGGGCGGTACGAGAACAACCGCCGAACCCACGTGGTCAACCAGACTGAGGCGGCTGAACTTGGCGACTCCGAGGATGGCGAGGAGCTTGACCCTCCCGACGGTGACTTCGGCTCCGATGACGAGGACCTCTACGTGACCTACATGACGGCTAAGGCAAGGTATAAGGACTTCAGCAAGGCACGCGGCATCGAGCAGAGCGAGGGCAACAACGGGAAGAAGCTTGCGGAAGACCGCATAAAGGCTGCCAAGATGAAAAGCCATTGTTCGGCATGCGGACAACGTGGGCATTGGCACCGCGATGCTGTGTGCCCAAAACGGAAGACTGCCGCCGGCGGCAGTGACAACCAGGTGCAGACCATCCACGTCACGAACGAGATCTGCGAGTTGTCTGCGGTGAACCTTGCAGAGCTTCCGGCCGTGCTCGATACAGCCTGTTCGAAGACCGTTGTGGGCACCGGGTGGCTCCAGCGATACCTCGACTACATCAAGGGCAAAGGCTTGGATCCCGGCTTTGTGTATGAGAAGGACGCCTTCCGCTTCGGTGCTGCTCACAAGATCTACGAGGCGAACTACTCCGCCATCATCCTCATGGCCATCGGCGGCAAGTGGGTCGCCGTAAAGGCGGCTGTGATCCATGGGGACATTCCTCTCCTCATGTCAAGACCGGCCCTGGCGCGACTTGGCTTGGTTATGGACCTGGGCAAGAATGTGGCAGACTTCCGTGCAGTGAGCAGCGGAGAATTTGACTTGAAGGCAACTCCTAGTGGCCACCCTGCAATCTGCGTGGACCATCGCGGGCTTGCCAAGCCCAATGTTTCAGAGCTCCCCAAGGTTTGGGAGAACCATGGCATCTCGATCTTGAATGTGCGCGAGGTATACATGGTAGGCACCAGCATGCCAGATCAGAGATACGTTGCGTCTATGGGCTCCGAAGAACATGTTCCCCGCGTATTCTATGAGAAACAACTAGACCCCGCCATAAAGAATCTCCTCACAGCTGACACCCTGCACTCAGACCCCTTCTTAGCATGGTGGAAGAATACGTCATTGACAAGCGATTTCTGGATTGAGACTCCCAACACCCTTGTCCGAGTTCATCTAGTTCCCAGAAGATCATTGTTTGATCCCCGGAAATGGCAGACCAAGCATACTCTCCAAAAAGAATCTCTTTTGCAAGTTCTTGGCAGTTTGCGAGAAACATGGGGTATTTCGTGTCTCAATGAGAGGTCTCTTAGCACAATCAGTGACCTTTGGCAGTGCGTGGCAGACGGCAGCTATCCGACTTTGTGGGTTGGCCGAAGCGTGTTCAATCGAGTTAGTTGCTCCACCGGCCTGCCCCTTCCACTCAGTGGTGATCATGAGCAAGCAGCCGGCCCTATGGAACATGAACAAGACCCAGCTATCTCAGGAATGCTTCCGCCGCGGCATTCCGATCAATCCGAACTGGACCGTGCTGGAGCTTCGCCAGGTTCTCTCCAGCGAACGGCCGGATCCTCAGAGCCTCAAGCAGACGGGGCAAGGGCCTGGCGAAGATGACTCTCAGGGAGCTTCAGGCGGAGGCGGACGAGATGGAGCTCCCCTACGGCGAGAAGGAGAACAAGGGTTCCCTGATGTTGCGGATCAGAGATGCCCGCGCTCCGGACCAGACTGTCATGACCCTGGGACGTTTCAAGGGCACCCCGACATCCCGGAGAGCTATGGCGACTGGGCATCCGAAGAGGAGAGAGCGAACAGCGACAACATGCACCCGGACTTGAAGAGGTTCGTGCTGTGGAGGCGCTACCAGAAGGACTCAATCAAGAAAGGACGAACCCCGAAAGAGCCGGCGCCCAAGTACCTCGACCCGGAGGAGCATGCACTGATCCCCCCACCGCCGGTCAGCGAGACGCGCTCGTCAAGTTCATGGTCCCTGATCCACGACTCTGTCAAGGACGACAAGGGCAAGAAGGGCTATGCCGTGGTCCCGAAGGCCAAGGTGACCCCTACAACGACCACGTGCACACCAAGCAGGACGTCGCGACGCTCCAGGGAGACCGAGGAGAACTCCAAGGAGCGCATGGAGCAGGACGTGACCCCAGACGTGCGGAGGAGATTGCCAAGCTCGAGGCAGGACTGGCGTCGTTGAAGGATCGACATGGAGTCAATCCCGGACCGTGAGGGCCGGGACGGAGGCCAGGGTCGATGGCAATACGGAACACGACACGTACCACGACATGCGCTACGAGCACCACGATTTTGATGATGATTTTTGGTCCTGTTCTTCGACGCAAGAGAATGAGGGCCATCAAGTTTTCCTTACAAAGGCTGCCGTCAAGCAGCTCGCAAAGGATGGACTGGACTTCTCCCCCGGGAACCACGCTGGTGAGCAGGCCGCTAAAGAGGCGTTCGAGAAGAGGCAGTTCACTCCCGATAAGTTCGAGCATCTCTTCGACCTGTACAACTTTGATGGGACCCGAGGCAAACGCCAGGGCATACATCATGGACAAGGCCAGCGCGCAACCTTCGGGTACTATGCCTACGGCAACTTTCGGGGAGTGACCCGCCGGACCTCCCAATGGCCTCACCTTGTCCGATATGCCAATGCTTACCTGGCTCAGAGGTGGTTGGACGACAGTGGAGAAGTGCGCTCGCCTAGGTGGACCTCTATGTCCGTCAGCCGGAACCTGCCGTCGGCGATCCACGCCGACAAGAACAACCTCCAGGGCAGCAAAAACTACGTCATGACTTTTAGTGACCACACGGGTGGAGAAGTCTTTGTGGAGCAACCCGGGGGTGGAACATGTCGGAACAACTCCAAGGACGTCCCCATCGAAGGCGTGCTCCTCGACCCCCAACAGGGACTCTGCGAGTTCGATCCTCCTCGGCAACACGGCACTGAAGCATGGCAGGGCAAGCGCTGGGCACTTACTGTGTATTCCGCCAGGTCCTACCCGGAGGCCAACAACGAGGAGAAGCGAATCCTTCGGGATCTCGGATTCGGAATTCCCGGCCGAGGCGAAATACGCCAGATGAGGGAGACATGCGGAGGACAACCTCGACGCAAAGAGTCGAGCAGCGGACCATCTCAATCTTCCAGGCCGGGACAATCTACACGGCGGAGCCTTTGGAAAGCCGCCGCCGCGCTGTCCATCATGTTCACCACTGCCCTGTCCATCATGACCGAGTTTGCCTGCGAGGCGCTACCTGACGTGAAGGCGCCTGAAGTCGCGCTTTTGGAAATTGCAACTTGCCGCCTGGCAGAGTACGCTGACGAAAAGTTAAAGCTGGCAGAGCCCATCCTCCTCGAGGACCTCATCCACGACAACGACTCTGTTGAAGGGGACTTTGGACTGGTCGAGACGGCCGTTATGCGACACCAACCAGGAGAGTTGTGGCTACACGTCCGGCCCGAGTGGACAGACGAGGGCATCTACGAGGATGTCATGGAGGCAGTGGACTTTCAGCTGCGCGGTGGCCGCGCGGTGGTCTTCCAGAACGACGACCGCGATGGCGGACTTTGGGAGAGCACGATCGAAGGTTGGGAGGAAACCGGCTACATCGTTAACCACGACTTCGAGATCGACGGCACCGAGTACGTCCGGGTGATCTACGAGGCGGAGATTGGGTACGCGAGGGTGAAAGAGGTCCTGGCGAATGAGGACGGGCCACCTGACCGACTGCAACCTGAAGCGGAGGACGGACGACCTCCCGATCGAGCAGACGGAGCCGAACGACTTGAACGCTCAGCAGCTCCACTAGAACGAGGAGCACGCGCCATTCGGTTCCCTCCTAGTGTGCCGGGCCACATCGCCAGCAACCTACGGCGTCTACATCAAAACCTTGGCCATCCTGGTGTGAGCGACTTCGTCCGGCACCTGAGGCTGGCCGGCGCCTCTCGGGCGGTGTTGAAAGCAGCCAAAACGCTGGAGTGCCAAGTGTGTGCCAGAGGAAGAGCCCCGGCAATCGCCAAGCCGGCGAAGATCGGGTCATGCTTACGATTCAATGAGATCGTCGGCGTGGACTTGATGTATTGCCACGACTCCGAGGGCGTGAAGCACCAGCTCCTGTCGATGGTGGACTTCTCCTCCAGCTATCATGTGGTGGTGGCGGTCCCCAGGAAGGACACCTATCACTTGGAGCGGGCCTTTTGTGAACACTGGCTAAATGTTTTTGGCGCTCCCAAGGTCCTCGCCATCGACATGGAGACGGGTCTTGAAAAATCTTTGTCGAGAGTTGGGGATTACACGGGCACTAAGCCACTAAGCTCCGCCACGCGGCGGGCCAGGCGCACTGGCAAGCCGGATGCACTGAGAGACAAGGTGCTCTGTGGAAGACCATCTTCGCCAAGACCAATGACGAGATGGCCATCGCGAAGGGCGATCTGCGCTTGGCCATCGGGGCGGTCTCCTCAGCCAAGAACAACTTGATCAAAACGAGCGGCTACTCGCCAGTCCAACACGTCTTCGGATCTACGGCCAACATCCCGGAGGATTTGCTCAACGGACGGCGAGCTTTTGACCTCGGAGACGAGCCCGTGATCGACGACAGTCACGCCCGAGAAGTTGCAATTCGCGCAAGTGCGCGGATTGCTTTTCACCAGGTCCAAACCGACGAGAGGGTCAGGCGGGCGCTCCTTGGACGAGCAAGAGTGAGTCAACGGCGACCCGAAGTTGGCGAGCAAGTCTTCTACTGGAGGAAGCCGGCAACCTCCAAGAATGGCAGGTGGCTGGGACCGGCCACGGTTATCGGGCACGAGGACAACAATGTCTGGGTGACCAAGTCCGGACGATGCGTACTTTGCGCCCCTGAACATCTTCGACTCGCAACAGGAGAAGAACTTGGAGAAGCTTTCTCCCTCCGAGCCGCGAGAGAAGACCTTGAACGCCTTCTCCAAGCCGACGACGAGGCGGACGAGGCCTTCAACGAGGACGACCCGGACATCGAGGGCCACGAGGAAGCCGACGACGAGGAGATGGCCGAGCTCGATGGCGAGGGCGAAGAACGACTACCTCGAGGCGGACAACGTCGCCCCCAAGAGGCTGCGCCTCCTCAAGTTTTGAAGAGACATCGCACAAAAGGACCGGACGGCCAGGGAGAAGGGCGTCCTCATGCAAATCCCGTCTGCATGTTGAAGCCCGCCAAGACAGCCAGGTCACGGGAAAAGCAATTGGAAAAGGAGATCCCGTGGTCTCAGATACCACCTGAAGTACGACCCCTTTTTCGGGAGGCAGAGAGCAAGCAATGGGGCGAGCACATTGCCACCGGGGCTTTCGAACTCTTAGGCATCCAAGCCTCTGAAGAAATCCGCCGTACAGTACCGGCGGAAAGAATACTGAGCTCCCGCTTTGCTTACCGGGATAAGAATCTCGGGAAGAGACGGGCGGTGCCCACTACACCCTGGCGGGCAAAGTCGAGATTGGTGGCAGCCGGACACAAGGACCCCGATTTGGGGTCGAATGGCAACATCGAAGTCGATGCACCAACTGTTGCTCGATCCACTTTGATCGCACTGCTACAGGTGTGCGCGTCCAAACAATGGACAGCCTCCGCCGGCGATGTGCAGGCGGCCTTTTTGCAGGGTCTCGAACTGCGGCGTGATTTGTGGCTCTCTCTTCCCCGTGATGGGATCGAGGGCCCGGCAGTTAGCCAAAATCAAGAAAGGCATATTTGGCCTTTCAGAATCGCCCAGAATGTGGTTCGATAGGGTATGCCAAGTCCTCCTATCCGAGACCTTCCCCCTGGCAGATGGAGAGTACAAGTTTCGATCTTGTCCACTCGATCCCTGTGTTTTCATCCTGGCCAAGGAAGGTGGCGATGGTGAGCCGGCTGGCTACTTGGCGCTGCACGTGGACGACATCCTGCTGATCGCCCCTCGCGAGACCAACAGAACCTTGCAGCGGAAGATCAGTGACTTGTTCCCTGTCGAGGACTGGGAGGAGGACGAGTTCGAGTACACCGGCTCCCATATCAAGGTCACCGCCGACGGCATCTATGTCAACCAGGCCAGCTTCTGCGAGGGAAGGCTGTTCCAGGTCGAGGTGGACAAGGGACAGAACGGAGACGACCCCGCCACGGAGGAGCAAGCGATTGACAACCGTTCGTTGCTTGGGGCTTTGAGCTGGTTGGCGACTCAAAGCAGGCCAGACCTTCAGTGCGGAGTCGCTCTTGGACAACAACTTCAGAAAGCACCCCTTGTCCGGGATGTTCGTTTCTCCAACTCGCTGACTACCAGGGCCCTGCGACACAAGGAGAAGGGGATTGTGCTTAGACCAATTCCCCTTGAGGAGATCGTGTTTGTGACGTTTCACGACGCCGGATGGGCCAATGCAGAGCATGAAGAAGCTGAAGATGGTTTTAGGCTCACACCCGAGGAGATCGAGAAGGGCGCCATCCTCGACCTCTACACCTCCGACCGCCCCCGCGTGGCCAAGAAGACGCACTCAAAGATCGCTTCACAGCTCGGGCACCTGATCATGGTGTTCCCCAAGAAGTTCCTCCACGGTGAGAAGGCCTCAGGTAGTCTACTGGAATGGAGAAGCCAGTCCTGCAAACGTGTTTGCAGAAGCACCTTTGGGGCAGAAACAATGTCCGCCGTTGAAGCCTTGGAAGGTTGCCAGTACATGCGTTCGCTCTTTGCCACCCTGCTGAAGGGCAACCTCGTGAAGGTTGAGACTGCAAGGGAGAGGTGGCCGCTCCTGTGCATAACAGATTGTAAGAGTGTCTTCGATCATTTGCACCGAACCGGAGTACCACGTATCCCTTCCGATCGCAGACTAGCCATAGACCTTGCAGCTCTCCGCCAAGAGCTTCAACTCGAGAGGTGGGCGGCAAAGCTGCCTCTGCAGTGGGTCCCAACAGAGTGCCAACTGGCAGGCCCGATGACAAAGCCCATGAAAGTAGACAACTTCTGGACCTCTCTTTGGGAGGGCATTAAATTGCCTTTTCGAAAGGACCTCTTCCATAGGGAGGAGGGTTTTTGAACCAGTGTAGACTTGTAAGTTGCTTGCAGGAGCACAGGACCGCAGGCGCACGTGTTCCAGCAGAAAAGTTCTCTGTGCAGTGCTACAGGGAGCTCTGAAGGGTAACGCTGCCAGTGGCGACGTACCCCCTAAGTCGTCAGCTAGATAGGTTTATGTAGAGTCTAAGATTTGCGGCTTGCAGGCCTACATAATTGGAATAGTCGAGGATCGGATGCAACATGGGCAAATGAAACGGAAAGTTTGGTAGACAATTGGAAGCGTAGCTGGAAACTGAAATGGTAAATGAGTTTACACAGGTGTTCACACGGGTAGTAGTATGACTTGGAGGGGCAGAGAGACTCAGTAGGGATCAGGTTTTCGCGTTCGGGCCTCAGCCTCAGGGTATCGCGAAAACCTTTGAGCTGACTTCATGCTGATTCTATTTCACTTTATCCCACTTTTCTCACGGTATTACGCTTTAATCCCCTTTTTCCACTTGACTCCGCTCTATTGTTCGAGATCAACTTGAGATCGCTCTGTCCTAAGTAGCCGAGTGCAGGGGCTCAGAATCATGATTTCTATGACTTTCGAGCATTGATCTCTCTCATGCTGCGCACAAGCCATGCTCAAATGTCAGGACAGCCTTCCCTTACCTAGGTTAGTGGACCTTATCCAGTGTATATAGCTGTGAAATCCCTTGAGAGACGGGATCTAGTAAATTTACGTGCATAAGAGGTCTTTGACACCGCTGCCAGGCCATTGTCCTGTTCGTCTGTCGCACGCTGATCTACCTGGGCTCAATGCGCCTTCACCCGAAGTCTGCTCTGGGGGCTTCACGCACTGAGCTTCAATTACAGACGTGTCACTAGATCTGAAGTACGGCAGGCAGTTAGGATTTAAGTAGAAGCCCGCCTGGTGGGTTGTGCAGTTTTGACTTTTTTGGATGTTGCTTAGCAAGTATTGTTCAAGGTTTAGGGTGCAGGCTGCTGACAAAGGCCCCAACAAAACCCTCAAAGAGGACCGCAAAACGGTCCCTTTAAACAGAGTCCTTGAGGGCTTGAGGGTACCCGTCGCTTAGAAAAGCAAAGTGAAGCTGAGCTGAGGTGCAAGCTGCTCATCAGCCCCTTGCTTTCATCTGGTACGTAATCTAGGACTCAGACTTTAGGGTTCGGGGCTTCATGTGTTCAGAGTTCCAGGTTTTGGGTTTTGCAGGTCAAGCCGGGAAGCGGTAGCATGCAGGTATGAGTCATCAACGGGCAGGAAGACTAAATTTTGGCGCGGTCCCCAAACAGTAGAAGAAAGAAACGAGCTTATATGCCTTCATCAGTCTTGCGAGCTGGCCGGTTAAGTTTGAAATCGACCTCCGGCATGCTCAATACTCGTTTATGATGCGACAGTTCGCGCGTAGATATGGTACATGATGGAGGACCTGAACTTTTTGAGCAGGGTGTGTGTGGCATTGCTCCAACTTAATGGTGCATAAGGGGGAGTAGACCCTTGAACCTATGCCTATCCATGTAAGGCCTACTATATACCACTTGTGTAGTGCCCTTGTTCACTCCCTTGCCCCGGATAGGCATTGGTAATTTCAAGCAGATTCGAAGTTCATGGATGCGGAAGTCGTGTACAAGCATGTCGGCAGTCATGCATGTGCTCAGAGCCACAGAAAGAGTTGTTGCTCTGCTCTTTCATGGCCTTCTGGGACCAATCCTCAGCGGATCTCAGCGACATAGATACATAGGTGTTTCCCAACATGAAACGTATGTGTTCCGCAACACGCATCCGCATAATCCACTTGTAGTCTCTGTATATCCATAGGGTCCATATTCTCTGAGAAAACCGTGACATTGAAAACTGCGAACCAACAAGCTGATTCTCATGGAATAATGGGGGAATTCCATGGTTTCTTGGGGTCCTAAAAGTAAGGACTGTAGTACACTTTGGGGAGCCAATCTGGTAAGAAGTACCATATACGTGTGTTGCAGTTTCACGCTGCGTTGCTCGTGCGGCTCTTTGTTTTAGATAGAGAGTTGATGGAATGCCACGATTAAAGCTGCATCGATCTCCATCAACACCCCTGCATGTATTGCTTAAAACGAGGCCAGCTGAGATTACTGTGGGCGGACTGCAAAGCAAGGAACTTCACCAGGACGTACATGCTGCATAGTGGATATCATGCTATCATGTTAGCGTAAAAGCTGCGTTGTGTACGCTTGTTGGAGGATGAATTCGCGCCTGGCATAACGGAATACTGCTATTTCCACTCAGGTCGTGTGTGTGGGGTGGGCTTAGCTCTTGGGCGAGTCATGTGGGAACGCATGTCCAAGTGGGCCTTCAAGGACAGATAGAAGACGTCGCGATTCGGACATACCAAGTAAACATGCATGATGAAAGACCTGCTCAGCTGCTTCTCTGAGCACTGCAAGGAATGCTGTACTGGTGCATCCTAATGCAGTTCATTTCAGATGTAGCATCCGTCCTTCAACTGGAAGGTGCTTTAAGGATATGCCAGATGGATGGAAATGAGTTGTGGGCAGGTCAAGGAAGGGAAGGGGACAAGGAGATGGGGGTGAGCCCGGTGCGAGGTCTGCATGTAAGTCAGAAAGTGAATCACGTGCTGTGCATCCCTAACATCTCTACCAGACTTGTCAGACGCAGACAGCGATGTGAGCATGTGAGTGGGGGAAGGGGACGGACTCGTAGAGTAGCCCTTATATAATTCCCATCATGATCTCTGTACGCATTCCTGCATTGCCAACTAAGCACCAGTACGCATCGTTCAGCCTTGTTTTTTTTTTGGGGCGTTTTTGCGCAGAGATGATGCCAACCCTTTGGGTCGTTGAACCCATCCCCGAAACGATGCAATCCGACCCCTGTATGGTTGATATTCCGCGTCTGGTGCCCCTTGCGAGGATCCTCTGCATACCAATACCTACATACCTTTGCAGCTGCTTACCTGCAATCGAGTTTTTCTTGTAGAAGATTTGGGTACCCCCCACCCAGGTAATTAGTAAGAACCTTATAACTTTTCCAGCTTAGGGGCTCGCATCTTCCTCAGCAGTAGTCAACTTTCAGCCTTGGCCTGGGGAACCTCTCGCCGCTTCAGGGCAAGGCTTCAGTGGCCTGCTCCGTAGCTCCGTAAATTTGCACCATTCCCCCTGATTTTGAGAAGTCGGCACATGGTAACAAACCAGAATTAGTGGGGAATGTTTTTCTCAAAAGGTGAAAGTATTTGGGTGCATACAAGGAGGAGCCTCATGCAAGTTTTAGAGCTTGCGTTGTTTTAGGCTTGGATATGGATAGATTATAAGTCAGGCTCCCATGGCTTTACTCAAATTGCCAAGGCAATTTTCAAATTATGGTAACCCAAAGCGGATCATAACTTAGACAAGAATCTGCGCCTCTACACCGTAAACCCGCTTGCGCCAAAGACTCCCCTAGCCACTGGCTTGCGCAGCAAAGGCGCGAAGAATAACCCTAAACCCTAAGCCCTAAACTCTAAACCCTAAACCCAACACTTACCCTAAGTCTCAAAATCTTCAGGCCCAGTACCCTGAGCAGCCTGAGGCTTCCAAGAGACTGGGAACCTGGCATTGGCAGTGACCCTGATACCTGGCAGACATCAGCAGACGGTTGAGGGTTTAGGGTTAAGAGCTTGGGGGTTTTGGTTTCAGCGTTTTGGATTTGGGGCTTAGGGTTCTCACAGCCTGGCGTTCAGTGTTTATGAGTTTTGGCGTAGGGCTTGGAGCTCGGGGTATTTCAGAGAGTTTCTGAACAGGGTACGCGGACACTAGGCATAGGTAGAGACTTCGTTGGGACTGTGGGGGTCCACTGACTGAGGAATTGCACAGCTATTGTCTTGAACAACTCCCTTCCGGCCTTCTCTATACGTATAGGTGTTCACAGCTGGACTTTTGTTCTCCCAGTTGCTCAGGCTTCGCTGGCGTGAGAGCCCTTGATGTTAAAGCCATCTAAAATCCTGAGCCCGAAGCCCCTGCATAGTGTAGCTTCCCTGCACGCCAGAGCAGGCGATGGGTGCGTTGACCTTTTGAGATCGCGCTGGCCCCCGCATTTGCCTTTTCTGCATCACGAGGTAGTGTTCAGCCCAAGCTTTGGATATACTATTGTGGATGGAGGGTATATCAGCCTCACAGGGGGTTGAGGTCTTCCTTTGGGTCTTGGTGTGCTCGCACATCCAAAGCACCGCCTGCCTCAGGATCGTGATGTGCACGCAGGAGCCAATCTTCTACTGCTTCGGAACTCCAGAGTTTGAGTGCCTGCCTTAATGGCAAGTACATACTTGCCCACGGCGTGTCATGATCAGTTTCTTCCTTGGAAGCAGTTCCGTTTTGTTCAAGCGCCTGTTCAGTGCGAAGCTAAGACCTCTGAACCTACAAGCTTCATACTTGATATGCACAGAGAAGGCCGTAGCATCGTCCCGAAAGTGTGGTGCTGCCAAGGGAGACGCTGTTCACTCCCTATTGCCCGCAATCAGCAGACAAGAAGGAGATCTACTCGCTTTTCTCAGGCACACTGCCTTTGCTTGTGCAGGCGTTAGATTCCATAAGGCTTGCTCAGCGGGAGCCTCAATAATATTGGAATGTTGCATCAAGAGCCGACAATAGTCAACTCAGTGGCAACCCTCAACCTGCTTCTTCTTAGTTAACCCTTACCTGTCCAGGTATCGGCATTCTACTCTACTGGGCGCTGCTCATGGACTTCACGATTTTCTCGATGCGAATTTCCGCCTTTGTGCTGGTGTGTGGACGCATCCTTGTCGAGGTCGGACTATTCCTGACCCCTTGCTGCAAGATGTTGTATTACTAATCAGTTACATCGTTACTAGATTTTTGCTGTATCAAAATTAGTGTATTACTATATCATAGCCGTATTGTTACTACTGGTAGATTACTGTGGAATTGCCCTACACCCCAAACCTTCAACCCTTGTCCTTCTCCCTGTCTCAGAGCACAAGGCCACTGCCAAGCTAACCATATCTCTATGGAGGCGTTTCTATGGCTGTTGCGTGCTTTTGTTGTTTGATGGTTCAGTGTTCGAGCGATTAGAGGTGTGTTGATTCGTTCGATCGAACCTCTTAATGGTGGGTAGGCTTCATAGCCAGGCTTAGAATGGCTTCCCGGAATATCGAGCACCTCCTTCACCTCTCTAAACACGGAATGCCTCCTGCGCATCTAGAGGCTCATTGCAGGAAGGCAATAAGGTTGCTTCCCATGAGCTCAGAAAGCCAAGGATGGCCCTGACATTCTTCATCCTAGCCTTTGCGACGTCAATCAGCGCGTTGAGACATCAGCTGGATGACTTTTCAGGCCAGGAGAGATTTGGGTTTCAACCCTCGCTTCGCGTGGGGGTGGGGAAGACTTGTAGGGGCCCATCAAGAAAGAAAAAAAAGTGAAAACCCGCGAGGCGACCCTTTTCAGAAGCTGCCCCCGTCAACTTGGCTTAAACATTGAGCTTAGGCGTGGCCACGGAAACAGACTTACTGGGCACTCTTGTTCACTCGAGACATTTTCTTAAGTCAAATTTATCTATCGCAGATATATCTTTTGGCTTGATCGCATGGTTTAGAAGTGTGGTTGCTGACCCGCCTGTGAAGAGGCCAACCACAGGTGCCCATGGCACAGGATAATGCAAAGAGGTTTTGAACAATCCTGGGCTCGTTTGGAGGGTCAGGAAAGAGCTTTGAACGATCTTTTGCGAATCTGCCTTACAAGCAACATGGCATTTTGCGGGTCCGGGCTTCATGGGGTGGAATAAGTATGCTTATTCGAAATGCTAGTATTTATTCACCTGTTGTAGCCTCCACCTTTTCGAAGCGACCCTGCAATACTTGCCAGATCAATTGTATAAGGGCTTGACAGCTCGTGCATCTGGCTGGTGTGGAGACTACCCAGAGCACCTTCATTCAAACCTTCTGCAGGCACGCACTCTGGAACCGCTGGGGCTTGGAGACAGGGCTTTTTGAGTATCTATGCGGTTAGATGTAAGAGGGCTTCAACTCGGAGTCTTTTGAGCCGTGACCTAGATCAATCTCCAAGTGCTCGCAGGCATTGACACAGGAATGGTCTCGCTCATGAGCATGGCCTTGAACATGTATCCAATGTCTGGTTACGTGTTCATCAAGGACTTGGCTGCGACTTTGCTGTGAGAAGTCTCAGGAACGCAAGCAACTTTATTGTTACGTCCGCGTAGACATAGCAGCTGCATGTAGTGAGAGTCGCTTGGCAGTGTTTGTCATGGTCCCCTATGCAAGGAGGAATGTGCCAGATAAAGTGCTTGTGTTAGGGCTGAGAGCGGGTTTGGGGTGCACACAGGATACCAAAGGACAAATGCATTGAAGTGCATTGTAGACATCTTCCGGTGATTAGGAGAAGGAATGGATCCTTTTCGCAGTCCCTTCTCAAGTCCCAGTCCCTACAACTCATTCCTTCATTCCCTATATTCCTAGAACATCAGCAACATGGATCATAGCTGATAATTTGAGATATACCGGAGCATCACGCCAACGCTGGGTCTCATTCGCAGGAGGAGGGCTGGGTGCTTGGCGCAGTGTGCCTGTTCACGATCATCATTGCGATTTTCCTGATGAGTCTTGCTTGAATTGTGCATCTTGTGGAATGCGCGCACTGGATTCCCAGTGGACCTAAACCTGAACCTGCGCAATCTGAAGGGCCCGTGCCCTCCTAAACCTCGAACAAATGCAGTTGCAAAAGCCTAAAGCATGAGCCCTGATTTGCACGCCCGCGCTTTTAAGGAACCTTCTGATTGCACAGCTGAACCAAGCCTACCAGGCGGACTGTTGGAGCATTGCGAGGGGCGACGTGGTATAATTTTCTTGGTTTCTGAAACCCCTGCAATCCTGATTTGGGAGTTCTTAAGTTTGTTTCTATATGCTCCGTGAGGGGACGCTTCATGAGGGCAGCCCGATTTCGAGAAACTCCATGATTATCAGGCAAACTTTGCTGATTCAAATCTGGCTGACATCATGCAGGCATGCCTTTTCCAGTTAGCATTGACCATTTCCATTTTCTAACGCGCCCAAACCATAACAACCTATACCTCAACCCTAAACTCACCAGAATTCCCATAGTAAGACCCACATAACAAAACCATACTAAGGAACCATACACCACCCCATAGAAAACCCTCAACCCGAAGTCCATACACCAATGCCCCCATAGAAAAACCATATTCACCAACCCGAAATCCCTAACCCTTGAAAGTGGAAATGGTCAAGGCTGCGCCTTAATGAAGAGCTCGCGCTCTCCGTCTATTCTAATAAGTCATTTAGAATGGGAATAAGGTTTAGGAATAAGGTAAAGCCATAGTGTAGTTATACTCTATAACAACTTAAGGATTATAACTACATTATGCTTATGAATGCCTTATCCTATACGGCGAAGCATTTGAGTGTCTGCTGTTGTTGCATTTGGCTCGGCAACATCCTGGAATTTCAATAAGTATTCTGTCCTTACGTTTGCCGAATAGCATAAAATAATCTTCTAGGAACCCATCGTTCATCAGTAGTTGATGGACATGATAAAACACTTTGCCAATATCGGGTTTAGGTTGATCGGGTTCAGGTTGCGGTTCTGGTGTGTCCTCTTCATCAACAAATTTATAAGGAAACTGTTCATTTAATCGTTTGCGGATTTCCCTTTTCTGCTTTTCATATTCTGCCTTAACATCTGATTGCAATTTATCGTTTAGTTTGCCTTCTTTCCTTAAATTGCCTAATTTCCTTAAGTAATCTTTCATCAGTACATTTAGTTCCGAGTGCGGATGCAATGCATACTCTTCGTGCTTGATTATACTCGTTCTTGTTTTTACCGTAATATTTTCTTTTCGCTTCACGGCATTTATTACAAGTCTTAAGCCCGTCAAACTCTTGCTTGGACAGTTGCAGCGGCATGTTTTTGCAAACAAGCAGTCACTGCCGTAACCAGAAAAAGACATGCCGCTGCCGTGAGCTGCTGCGCCTGTTCCATCTTGCCCTAAACCCTAAAATTCTAGGAGAAGACCATTTTCAAGGTTTAAGGGTTTGGGGCTGGAGGGCTGGGGGAATTCTTTTGGGGTGCGAGCGGTGGGGTTTGGGTTGGCCTAGGGTGGTGTTCTAGTGGAGTTTGCAGTGGTTCTACTGAGTGGAGGGGGCTTTTGAAAGTTGGCGTCTTCCAGTGGAGTTGTGGTTGGTCATAGGAAAAATGTTGAGAGGTCATAAGTATAATGTAGTTATAATCCTTAAGATGCTACTGATTATGACTTCATTGTTGTTACTACCTTATTCCTAAACCTTATTCCTATTGTCGTTATTTTATTAGAGAATACCATTTCCATTTTCTAGGTTTAGGGGTTTCGGGTTGGGTATTATTGTTTTCTATGGGGGTGCTCGTCTATGGGGTTGAGTATGCTATTTTTCTGTTGGGGTGTGGGTGGTTCCATGGTATGGGTTCTTCAGGTGGGTCTTGGGTTGGGTCTTTGGGTGGGTTGAGGGTCGAGGCATAGGCTGTTATGGTTTGGGTGCTAGGGGGTGGTGCATGGTTAGAAAAAGGGAATGGTAATCATTAACTTTTCCAAGGGATTGTGCTGGCTGCATGTTCCTTAGTTCTGTTGCAGTCACACTGCTAGGTAGTCGTACTTGCACGCATGATTTGGCAAATTGTGATACCCCAAACCCGACAGCCAAAACTCAAAGCCCTGAGCCCTAACCCAGCAACTGCCCAAGACGGGGATGCTTTGCATTGCCCAATATATAGGGCACAGGGTTAGGGTTTAGGGTTCTCACTTGCCATGGATGCAGGCAGTGTACGAAGACATGCAAGGCTTTGCACGTCCAGCCCCCAGCTTCACTGGTAGAAGGCACGCTGGGGACTCTAGGCTGGAGCTGCTTGCTGAGGAATCATATTACCTTTTTACTTTTACTATTATTAGTATTACTAGACTTACTATTGTTATTTCTACTATTAGTATTATCACATGACTAATTATTATCATTAGTATTACAGTTTTTGCTATTACCATAATTGCTAGGTAGCTAGGGCCCCAGACCTTGCAAAAGTGTCTCTCGCACCCCGGCTTGCAACTCAGGATGTTGCCTCACGCCATGTGGGATGTAGTCTAAGCTCCTTGAAAGGGGGTTATGTAGGGGATCATATAGGGTTTTGGGTTTTGGGGCTAAATTCCCTGAAGGGGGATATGCGGGACTATACGGGGGAGTATTATTGGGGTTATTAAGGGGGATGCTAGGAGTTTAGACTATAGCTCATGTGGGGCGTTTCGCAAACAATATGGGGTTTCCCAGATGAAGGAGTACCATTTTGGGAGTCCCGGAATAAGGATTGTAGTTTTCTTCAGCAGCCAGCCAATCTGTTATTGTGTTTCCTTTGCACAGGCACCTGCTTGGGCGCAGTGAAAGAGAGCCCAAGCTTGTTTCAATGACAGTTTAAGCTGCTCCATACAGCCTTAAATCCTGCTGTTCAAAAGCCTGCTGAGCTGAGCCCCGAAAAAAATAGTGACCTTCTAATGTCGCACCCGTTGTGCGAGGGCCCCCTCTTTTGCGTCAAGTTTTGGGGCACTATTCAGGACAGGCAATATGTTTTAGGGACCCTCTTTCATGTCAAGTTTTGGTGGCCAAAATAGTATTTTTACGGTTTGAAAGGGTTCAACATTTCTAGGTTTAAATTGTCATGAGTTATTCTTCATCAGATAAGTCAGAGCTTAAGGGGCCCTAATTCCTAAAACCTTACTATTTGCTTTGAAGCCCTGAACAGCCCAGAGGTTAGCTTAAGGGTACCTGATTCCCTGAACGGCCTGGATTTCAAAGATCTCAAGGCCCCAAATCCAGATAGCCAGTTAAGCTCAATTACTTGGTT